GAGTTAACTTTTACGCTATCGAGAACATTAAAAAACTCGCACAAAGCACACGCTGGTTTTATGTTTGAGCCGTCCAGCAACTGTGTTCTCAATACATATATATATATATATTTTTATTGCTTAGATGGGTGGACCAGCTCACAACCCACCTGGTGTTAAGTGGTTACTGGAGCCCATAGACATCCACAACGTAAATGCGCCACCCACCTTGAGATACAAGTTCTAAGGTCTCAAGTATAGTAACGACGGCTGCCCCACCCTTCAAACCGAAACGCATTACTGCTTCACGGCAGAAATAGGCAGGGTGGTGGTACCCACCCGCGCGGACTCATAAGAGGTCCTACCACCAGTAAGTCTACGGGCACGAAACTTGCGATGGCTGAGCGATGGCGGCAGCGAGGCGACGCGACACGGGGCGGGCAGGTAGCGATATCTCACGCGGGCACGAAACAAGCTGGCGGGCAGTCGCGCTCATACAGTGTTGTGCGAATCATGACTTTACGTCGAAAAGAACTATTGGAGCCTAGTCTCCTAATGAGGGAATTATTATTACTTAGAGATGGTGTTCATCAAATAAATCAACGAAGACGCAATTGGGAATAAATTTCTACGCTTTATTACCAGCTAAGGTGTCATTTAATGAAATTTTAAATTCTTTGTTAAATTATAAATTCCTCATTATCAATTTCCATTACTAAAATAATAATTCAACACAACACTGTGTACCCGCGCAAGCGACGAAACCAAACTAGTTTGTTATCGTCGCTTCCGCGTCGCCGTCGCCCCATCATCGCCCGTACATCGCTCGATCGCCCCGCTCCGCCATCGCCCGTTTCGTGCCCGTCCCTATACTGTGCAATGCTTTTGTATACATCGCCGTCGCGCCGCTGTCGCCATCGCTCGGCCATCGCAAGCCTCGTGTCCGTAGACTAAAGGTTCACACAATATAGACTTACTCAAGCGATGAGTACTTACGCTTAGCTTATTAAATAAATAAAAACGTTTCATGTCTGCGTTTGATTGATAGTTTACTTCTGTTTAACGCTAATCGACTTTAATTAATTGACATTTCATACATTTTCGAGAGTCGTAGATTATATTAACATCGGTCGTCTGCGACCAAGAAAACTTAAAAGTATTTGATACGTTGAAAATATTAAACTGAGAGTAATAAAAGCGAGATTAAGCCGTAAAAGTAGTTTTGCATTAGTATTAATATTATATTCTATGTGTTTCAGTTCGTCCTTTTCCTGGGACTAACGGTCATCTCATACTTCCTGGCGTTCCTGGTCTCTGTAGCCTTCGAAGCTCCCATCGTCATGATGCTTAAACTCTTGTCGCCACAGAAGAAGTCTCACTGAGTCTATGCAGTGAAACAACTGATATAACTCTGCCAGTCTCATGAGACAAGTCTACGGAACCAATAACAACGGCTCCAAAATTATGACTCGACGTTCGAATATCTTTTTAAATTTGTATATTATTTTTGACACTGACGTTTCTGTCATCTCATAACTTTTACAATTGCGATGGCGCAAGGGCGCGTGCGTCCATGGACTTAATATTAAATTTAAAACCTGACTTGTAAAAAAGTTCTGTTCGCACTAAAATTACGATCGTACGTACACGTATGGACACCTCCGCCGAGTGTAAGGGGAGCTAGTTCAGAAAATAAAGAGGATAACGCTATTGATATCCACACATTACACTAAATGCAGTAGAAAAATGTTTTTTTTTCTTTTGCAACACGCAATGAAACAATACAAAATCAGCTGACACGTGGTATAATGTCCCGCAATGAATGCTGACGGCATCGCAAAACTGTTGAACGTTATACACTGCGCATTCACGAAATATTCAATAATTTTTTTGTTTATTTAACGATCTATATTAAAGAGTTTCTGCTGGAGCCTGCCGTCATCAAAACCTTCATATTTATATTTCTTCCTATTATACTCCTGATTTATATATCTCCAACCACCATGTAAAAGTTGACGTCAAGACTTCACGGGCGATTCCCTTAACGAAATCCTCTGGCATTATTTGTCTAATAACCAGGATGGTCGCACAAATTTGATAGTAACCATATTTAAATTATGGATGTAGATAACTGTGACTTAAAATTAGTAGTTTTATTACATATGTACAAATGCTTAAAACGCGCGTATTAACATAAAAAAAACACTTCAGTCAAAGGAACAATCGGAATAAGATAGGTTTCTGCTAGTTCTGATTCTTTTAATCAAAAGATTTCTGGTAACAATCGTGCACGTCGGTTTAAATCATATCTACAATTCTTATTTGTTTAAACAAAACCATAAGATATTTGGTTTCGAATACTGCAAGTACCTAAAATTAAAAAAACGAGATAGTAAAAGATAAGTACTGTCCCAACTCTCTCGGAGATCTAAGAATTTGACTTACAAATGAGGCCCTTATTGCACTCAAATCGGACCTTTCCCGCTCGCGTCGTTTGCGTGAACCTTGAAGGACCTAACCTCTGTGGGTCAACTTCTCCGACAACGGATGTTATTGTCTTGGAACTTCACTAATGATGGAGTTCCTTCCACTGTGAGATTGTATAGGAGATTCTATCCCAAGGTTACTCAAGGCTGGCTCGATGGAGTCTCTAGCTTTGACCTGTCACACAGGTTAATGTAAATGGATAGAGTGACTACGCAAGGACAGCAGTCTCGGTCCAGTTGGCAATTGGTCCATAGCACGAAGACTGCGGCTGAAGCTTCTTTTCCCATCCGAGTCGAGACGGAGATGTAACGACAAAGAAGTTCCAATATCAGTAACAAAAACCAAAATAAGTGTTTACGTACCTGTTCGAAGGAGGCAAAGGCTGATTCCAGTGTGCTTAGTGCGAGTTTTTTCGATGGCGTAAAAGTTAGAACAATTTTGTATGCAGTTGGAGCAGCGCCCCTAGCGGCAAACGTACGCGAACGATCCCAATTCATACAAATATGAGCTAACTTTTACGCTATCGGGAACGTTGAAAAACTCGCACTAAGCACACAGATACATTCATCACACTGGCACACTTTAAAAACATAACGGAGGAGCTTCTAATCAAATTGAGGAAACTATTTCTTTTATGATGTGCGATGTGTTTTATTTCGTCATGACACATTAGGTTAGCTTATACACATTCCAAATATTGCATTGGTGCAACTAAAATTCAAAATTAATCACTCGATTTAATGAAAATCGTGATAATAAATTCATCTACAAACCTTAATGTATTTGCTCTTGTTAATCTTAACGAAAAAAAGAATCGTAGTATTTTAATTTAGACGAAAGCAAAATTATACGGATGAAGAAAAAAGCTCATATTATTTTTTGTCCATTTTAATCCTTAACAATCTTCATCTGACGTGATACAATTTTGTGTAATAAAATTTTAAAATCATTATACATATTAAAGAAACAGCATGACAATAGAAATTAGGGATACCTAGAAATATTATAGGATAATTGTAAATAATTAAACATGTATATTTGTTATTGTAAATAAGTTGTAAATATAAACGTACATTAGTTTGTAATCCTTTTTTTACGAAAATACAGTTTTTTTATAAAACAATGTGATTTTATTTCATGATATCATTAAGCTAATGTTCAGGAAAAAAAACAATGCAACAAACCGAGCAGTTTCATTCTTAATCAATATTTCATTTAATTAATACACGGAAAACGTTACTCTTTAAAATTCGACATAATTTTTTTGTTAACGTCATCAATTTTATTACCTTTGACTTCGAAATTATGAAATAATTCATTTTCCAATTCTGAAATCTGAAATCATGTCTTCAAGTAATTATTCGTTATGCCTCTACGCGCCAATAAGTTTCCCGTGACATGATGGCGTCCTCATAGTATTGGGTCCTGAACATTAGATGTTAGGAAATATGCTGTCATCTGTTGTCGTTGCGGATTGAACTCAAACTGCAGTAGGTATAGGAAGCACTGATTTATTCCACACGCACCTTAAAATCGCATATATTGATAATCAACTGATTTTTATATCTTTGAGCCTTTTAAAACGTAAAACGTAATTTTTATCGTGACGTTTATCTCTCCATCTGACAGCCTGTGCTTTTTTTCTTAGGTACGTCTCCCGTTGCTAGTGCTGTGTGTGAAAAACCATTCACAACAAATGTATAAGTAAGCCGCGCCAATAATGAAACGAATCGAAAATGGCGTCTATGTAGGTACCTACACTGACAGATGGTAGGGTCAACAATAAAAAAAGAAAGATAGAAAGAAAAAGTTGTTTATTGTACAAAAATACAAAAAAACAAATAAGAATGTATTTTACAATTGTATTAATGATGTAATTATATTTTATAATTGTCGAAATTTAACAAAAACAACAAAATAGCAACGAAATAACGAGCAAATGCAACAAATAACAACAGAATTTTAGAGAAAACAGAGCGCGCCGAAACAGTTTGAGAACAAAGTCAGAACTGATATTTTTTTGAAGTGAAAACTTCTTTAGAATCGTTGTGATTTCAAACCGGATGCAACGGAAAAAACGACAGGTAAGAGACACAAATACAAAAATGTGTAGGATGAAGCCAGCAAAGAATGAGACAGAAATATACATACTATTTAATACAGCGCCATCTGTGAGATTTTTTAATACTAACGTGTGTATGAAAGCTCTTGTAGTGAATTTTAATTTAGGATTATACGTGAAATTAAAATATCAATTCACAGAGGGCGCTACCTTACAATTATTTACTAATGACAAAATTTTACATATACTTAAGACGTTTAGGATAATTGTATTTTAATTTTGGAAGGTTTCACTTCTACCACGTGTGAATTGCACACATTTTATTTTTTTTGCATGCAGTACGCGTGCGACTAAAGATAGCAATAGTTTAGAGTGAGAGCGCATGATCGCCGCCGCCATTTTAGATTCGTTCGATTTCGTTCGGCGCGGCTTATATTTATTATCTATGGTGATGCGCTCTAGTGGCGGCGTCTGTGTCACCTCGCCGCCCGGTCGCACACGCGGCGCAGAAGACTGCAGAACGGCATCTCCACCAGCAAGGACACCACCAGCGAAGCACACATGCTCAACACGCTCACTGCTGTGAAATACGTCCACTGGAATAAACAACAAAGTGAATATTATTATATTACTCTTTCGTGTATCTAACACCCTGGCCACGGGACATTCGCCGATACGAATATTCGCGCGGTGCGAACGGCGAAGCGTCTAGCGACTAAAATAAGCGCATAGAAATGTACCTAACAAGCCACGCGCACCGGCGACCGGCGAAGCGACCGGCGAAATGTACCGAGCGAATCGCGCGATGCGGCGGGCGAGCAAAACAAATGCATGAATACGGACGGCGCGAGCCACGGAGTCGAGCGGTAGTCGCGGCGAATAGTGCAGTGATTAAATGAGTTTAGTTGTTTTCGCCGCGAAAAATTAACGCCGAAATTTTTATATTTTTTATTTATTTTTTATTTTATATTTTTAAAGTCGTCGTGGCCTAACGGACGTCCGGTGCAATCGTGTTGAGCGATGCACCGGTGTTCGAATATCAGGCGGGTACCAATTTTTGTAATGAAATACGTACTCAACAACACTCAACGTTCACGATTGATTTCCACGGTGAAGGAATAACATCGTGTGATAAAAATGAAATCTTCAAAATAATAATTTGCGTAATTACTGGTGGTAGGACCTCTTGTGAGTCTACACGGGTGGGTACTACCACCCTGCCTATTTCTGCCGTGAAGTAGTAATGCGTTTCGGTTTGAAGGGTGAGGCAGCCATTATAACTATACTTGAGACCTTAGAACTTATATCTCAAGGTGGGTGGCGCATTTACGTTGTGGATGTCTATGGGCTCCAGTAACCACTTAACACAAGGTGGGCTGTGAGCTCGTCCACCCATCTAAGCAATAAAAAAATAAAATAGCTGAAATACTAGCTAGACCAGCTATTTGGAAGTCTAGCCACCCAAAGTATTTCTCGTACTTCTTGTGGAATTCTCCATCTATAGGTATACTCCGATTCTTATTCAAATCATGTACTTCACAATCTTTTCCAAATAATAGGTCCTGAACCAAAAAACTATTAATTTGTAAGCAATATCGAGATAATTTCGATATAGACATTTCGCTGTCGGACTTCCTTACTAGTCGCGGCGGCGAACGTGAGTACCCGTGGCCTGCAAACGGTGCTGCGCGAATGGTCGCCTCGTCCACCGCTTCGCTGTTCGCACCGCCGATCCCCGTGGCCAGGCCGTAACAATTGCGGGTATCTTCATTTAATTATCCATTTGAATGTTAAATTAGTTCCCTTTTTTATGTTTTTAGTTATGACATAACGACACGATCAATTTCAATTCGCTTGAGTGGACTTGCAATTTATCTAAATTTCAATAGAATAGGTAACAGAGTACTTACGACAACCCTTCTGAGTTTCTCGACGGATTTTCAGTGGGTCGCGATAGATAGATAGATATTGCGAAGCACTACTCTTGCTAGGGCTAGTGTTAACAAATACGCTCAGGTTGAGCCCGTTAGCACACCTACCCGTGTACACGTAGCTGGAATAGCCCTTTAGGCCAACAGCGAATAGTGCAATAAAAATCAAACTCGCAAAATTATAATTTGCGTAATTACTGGTGGTAGGAGCTCTTGTGAGTCCGCACGGGTAGGTATCACCGCCCTGCCTATTTCAGCAGTGAAACAGTTATGCGTTTCGGTTTGAAGGGGGCATCCATTGTAACTATACTTGAGACCTTAGAACTTATATCACGAGGTGGGTGGCGCGTTTACGTTGTAGATGTCTATGGGCTTCGGTAACCAGTTAGCAAGCACCAGGTGGGCTGTTGGCTCGTTCACCCATCTAAATAATAATAAAAACTCACAACGCAAGTAGTGTTCGAGCAGACGCTCGAGTCAGCGGCGAGCAGCACGAGCCTGGCCGTCACGGCGTGCACGACCAACGCGCTCGGGCACAGCCGGCCGACTGCCGCCGCGTACGCACCGCCCAGCACGCCGCGACACGGCACTGCGGGACACAACACGATAACCACGTGGTCGCAGGGACCCCGTAAGTTTTTTTTTTCCCTACCTAAGCTGATAGCCTTGAGAGGCTATTTCAGCGTAACCTTAACTAGTAGGTGGTCTCGCGGGGCTTAAACCTGACGCGCCGGAAGATCTTAATGATCAACTGCTTAATATAAAACCCATCTTCTCAGTGGTTCGCTCACGTCCTTACGGATCCATCAGATCCAATAACCCTTGCATTAGACACCTTTGGCTCTAACACTAGGAGTAGGGACCCCGGTAACCTTACTCGTGCAACCTAACCCATAGACACAGCCCGCTGAGTTTCGCGCCGGATTTTCTCAGCGGGTCGCGATTCCGATCCGGTAGTAGATTCCTTAGCGAAGCAACTACTCTTGAGTTGTTAGATCTCCTTTGGAGGCGCTCGGGTAGCTGTTAGCAAATCCCATCCCTCATGGTTGAGCCCTTGCTGGCCCACCTACCCTGGTAAAACTTGAAAGGCCTCCGGACAAACATTAAAAAAAAGGATAGGTCGCAATTCCGTTATGATGGTAATTTAAGCACTGTTCTTACTAGGGCTAGTATTGGCAGTGTCGCAGTTGGATGATGCTAGCCGATATCCGATAGCAAATCGAAAAGAAAGTATGAAATACAAAGAGACATGAACGTCGTTGTGGCCTTAAGGATAAGACGTCCGGTGCATTCGTATGTAGCGATGCACCGGTGTTCGAATCACGCAGGCGGGTACCAATTTTTCTAATGAAATACGTACTTAACAAATGTTCACGATCGACTTCCACGGTGAAGGAATAACATCGTGTAATAAAAATCAAACCCGCAAAATTATAATTTTCGTAATTACTGGTGGTAGGACCTCTTGTGAGTCCGCACGGGTAGGTACCACCGCCCCGCCTATTTCTGCCGTGAAGCAGTAATGCGTTTCGGTTCGAAGGGTGAGGTAGCCGTTGTAACTATACTGAGATCTTAGAACTTATATCTCGAGGTGGGTGGCGCATTTACGTTGTAGATGTCTATGGGCTCCAGTAACCACTTAACACCAGGTGGGCTGTGAGCTCGTCCAACCATCTAAGCAATAAAAAAAAAAAGCATAACTCCATCTTCTTTCTTCAGCATTTTTTTAAAATGTAAGTACCTGCATATAAAGTGGCGCATGCAAGTACAGGCCACAGTAAGGCCATGGGCCAGGCCACGTGCACCGCTGCGGTCGCCCACCACTGCGAGAGCCAGGGCAGCGCTGATGACGTCACCAGCAACGATAGAGACATGATCCATAGTAACGATGAAGTTACCTACAAAAAACTCCACATTTTGAGTCACTTCTAAGTCACATGGGGCGTAATACTGTCGATAATGCTGCCCGCCTGAAGGGTTCGAGGCATGAGGACGTACTAGCCATTGACATTATTATTAACAATGGCGTATCTAATAGGGCCTGTGGGGTACCACTCGCTCGCCATTACCCGAAAAAATACAGCAATATGGAGGGCAGAAGAACACAAAAAAACAACTATAATTAAAAAAGCTATAGTTTATTTAAAAATTTATAGGTACATGCTGGCATATTTTCGTTTTTTAACTTTTTTTGTTCCTACTTAAGTGGATGGTCTTGAGAGACCATATCAGCGTCACCGGGCGAGTAGGTGAGCTCACGGGGCTCAAAACCTGAAGTTGTTGCTAACACGAATCCTAGCAAGAGTCGTGCTTCGCAGAACGACGGCCACGATGAGAGAGAGGGTTTTCGTGTCATGCCACTTTGTCGAAATGAGTTTTTTTAACCCTTAACATCTCATTAAGTAGCAAAATGAGGGCGCACGTCGTTACAACAAACTTGTGAATTTCACGCAATTCAAGAACCGCGAGCGAAGAAGAGCATTAGTTTAAAGTAGACATTGTGCTCAAGGAGATAAGGGTCTATGAACAGTCTCACCGTAGAAACCTTGAGTCTTCCGCTCAGAACGTGCGTTAACCAGCCAGCAAAGACCCCCATAAAATACGGCGCAACTCGGGCCCACGGACGGACTATGATGGCTGTGTACGCCGACGCAGTCGTCGTCAATCTATTAACATTCATTTGAACACGTATATTTATAACAATAAAACATCTTAATGCCTTCGAAGGCGGACATTGGCAATGCCAGGCCAGTGTGCTTAGTGCGAGTTTTTTAACTTCTCGATCGCGTAAAAGTTAACGCAAATTTGTATGGAGTTGGAACAGCGCCCCTAGCGGCAAACGAAGGGACGCTGTCCAACTTTTACGCGATCGAGAAGTTAAAAAACTGGCACTAAGCACATAGAATTGCTAATCGCGACCGATTTCGAATAATTTTATTAGGTGTATTCTAGTGAATTCGAGAATGCTTTGGATTCACAATTCGTAATTATAAAAAAAAATATGTGTGTACAGGAGAACGTCTGTCAGCTCCGCTAGTATCCATATACTTAATCTGGCCATAAATACTGTTACAATTAAAAATAAACAAAATATTACATTTGAATTTGGAATCTGTCATTTTTATATGATTGCTCATTGAGTTTTCTCATTTTGGCGCCAATTTTTTTTTTTTTTTATTGCCCTTGTAGGCAGACGAGCATACGGCCCACCTGATGGTGAGTGGTTACCGTCGCCCATGGACTTCAGCAATGCCAGGGGCAGAGCCAAGCCGCTGCCTACCGCTTAATACTCTCCACAAGCCTCGTTTGAAGAAGGACATGTCATAGTGCTCGGGAAACACCGTGGAGGGGAGCTCATTCCATAGCCGGATGGTACGTGGCNACACCGGTTGGCGGGACAGCTTCCCGGGGCGGAGTTTAGTAGTGACACCCGGGTTCAGGTCCCCAACTGACCGGCGGGCGGCGGCGAACACCGTTTCACTGGGTCTCCCTATACCCCCGTCAAACAATCACGTCCCGCGAGCTCACACGCACGTCTGCTCCGCATGTTCCAGGTATCGCCAAGATTCACCCCCAACAAGGAAGAGGAAAAGGAAGGAATAACACTGGCTCTCCAACCCACACGCCGGAACACAGCTAGGCTATTTGGCGGCGGACTCTAGTTGGAGGGTGGTCGCTAGCCAGTCGGACAAGTCCTACCACCGATTATGTATTCGGCTCCCGTTTTGCACCACCCAGGGGTCACTTGTAGGGAATCGCGGGTTAAACCTACGGAAGCGGGAAGCAATCAACCCCCAATTGTACAATATTTTGCGATATTAAAATGGAGTGGGGTGATAAAGAGAACCGAATCGCTGTGATTGCATTACACAAAGTAGGTATGGAGCCAAATTTAAAAGAGAATAGGGTGGTAAAATCGAAGCAACTACTGAAGCGGGGACGCAAAGGGAGGTCAAAGAAAAATTTTGTTTACGGATAAGATTTTTTTTACAATTGAGCAATATTTTAACAAACAAAATGACCGTATTTATGCTCAAAGCTCTAAGGAAGCTTCCCAATTAGTCGACAGAGTGCAACGTGGGCACTATCCCACTTCAGTGATGGTTTGGTGGGGTATTAGCTATGAAGGAGTGACTGAGCCATACTTTTGTGAAAAAGGTATCAAAACATCGGCACAAGTGTATCAAGACACCATTCTTGAGAAGGTAGTGAAGCCCCTTAACAACACCATGTTCAATAATCAAGAATGGTACTTCCAGCAAGACTCGGCGCCAGGTCATAAAGCTCGGTCTACGCAGCTTATGGCCAGACTAAGTATTACTGTACAGTTAACATAAACGACCGCCTCGACTCTGAACAACTGAAATAAAACTTACAATCCTCTATCGAAGTATGCGGCAGTGAAGTCGGCAGCGCTGGCAGCCAACATCGTCATGAGCACGGCGGCCGCCACGACGGCCCGCGCCGCTCCCCCCGGGCCCCCTGCGTGCCCCCCCGCGAGCCCCCCCGCGGCACACGCCAGCGCGCCCACGGCGTGCAGCTGAGTTTCCGTTGACAAGTACCATGAAATCTGGAGGCACTGGAAATGTTTTCAAAATTAACGGATAGACTTAGATTGAGGACTCTAGAGACAAGTATTAATAATAATTAGTGATCCCCTGGTAGTCGAAATTCGACTATAATAAATTGAAATTATAAGTTTGTACACTATTATGATACTATTGTCAAAGACGATATTATACTTCTATAATCACAGATTTCGCCAAGACTATAGACAAATATTAATAAAGACAAACAATATTTAATCTATTCTCAATTTGACCATAGCAATATGAAAAGTTTGATAAAAAGCAAATAGTATGCATGCGTGTGTGTCAAATACATGGTACCTAGTGTGTGTAATGTTTTTTTTAATGATTTAATGTATTTTTTGTGCATAATATAAATAAATATTAATATTCTGCAGTCCTCTTCCCTATAAGTGTGGGAAATTTTATACTCCTCCATCCGCGCAATTTTCGTAAAGGAGGTACAAAGTTTTTGCATCACGTATTATTACGAGTATATACATAACTATAAGCAAATCACGCAGCGTCATTTGGTCCCAATATAGGATTCCCTATTATGTTACTACTAGGCTACGAGAGACTGATAAACATACTTTTATACGTTTAAATCTACACATACGTATGTATATAGATATGGGTTCAAGGATTCAAACAATGTTTGCCTGATGTGGGAATCGAAGTCACGACACCGGCGCAACAGTCAGAGTCACTAACTACTGCTCCACAAAGTCAGTCATGCCGCTAATAAAAATGTATTAATCTATCAAAACCAAGTTCAGCTCACTTGTTCGTCCTCGTCGTACATATTGGAAGCGTAAAGTATGTTTCTCCACCAGTAATGGTCGCAGTTAGTGTGATCGTTGTCTGACAATGTGAGGACGGACGTGCTGCGGTACACGCGAGCCACCACCGCCGACAGCAGTAGCACGTACGCATAAGACGGCAATAGCCTACAATAAATAAAAAAATGACCTGCTTTGGTCAAAAAAAGCAATATCTTCTTCTTCTTCTTTTTTACAGGCACAGTGAATTTTTGTATTCCATTCTATCTATGTAAAGAAAAATCTTTTTTATGTAATTTTTATATAAAACCTTTGAAAAGAACAAAGATTTCCCTTAAATAGAATAACCGAACTTTGAAGTAGTCGTGGCCTAAAGGATAAGACGTCCGGTGCATTTGTATGTAGCGATGCACCGGTGTTCGAATCCCGCAGGCGGGTACTAACTTTTCTAATGAAATACGTACTCAACAAATGTTAACGATTGAGTTCCACGGTGAAGGAATAACATCGTGTAATAAAAATCAAACCCGCAAAATTATAATCTGGTGGAGCCCATAGACATCTACAACGTAAATGCGCCATTCACCTTGAGGTATAAGTTCTAAGGTCTCAGAATAATTACAACGGCTGTCCCACCTTTCAAACCGAAACGCATTACTGCTTCACGGCAGAAATAGGCAGGGCGGTGGTACCTACCCGCGCGGACTCACAAGAGGTCCTACCACCAGTAATTACGCAAATTATAATTTTGCGGGTTTCATTTTTATTACACGAGGTTATTCCTTCACCGTGGAAGTCAATCGTGAACATTTGTTAAGTACGTATTTCATTAGAAAAATTGGTACCCGCCTGCAGGATTCGAACACCGGTGCATCGCTCAACACGAATGCACTGGACGTCTTATCCCTTAGGCCACGATGACTTCAAAGCTAGTCACTTTTTAAAAATATGCTACCGCCTCATATACTCCAATTATATTTGGTATTATGTAATTAGGAAATAGGGGCTATAGGGAAACAAATAACACAGTGACACGCTCTCATATCAGGGGTTTTGTTAAAATTCAAAAGAAAATTAAGTATTATCCTCTATATGTGCGTGTAATAAGAGAGAAGTTCTTCGGTAACAATAATATAAAGGGATTGACGACAAATAGAAGTACATAAATGAGTAATCTTACCTAATAATCCTGTTGGTTACAAAACACACGAATTGCAGGATCTGACCGCAGGCACCGCCAAAGTTGACGAGATCCTCGATGCTGTACCGACTCTTCAAATAAAAGAAATGATGGGAACTAAACAGGCCACTGGAATTTTACAATATCATTTTAATTATTCCGATGATGATTGCACAAATCGTGACTCACACAGCAGGTTCGTACTTAGCTGTAATAATGTAGAATCTAACGAAAGAAAGTGATTCGCGTTTTGAAACCGTTCATGTTGTAGCATGCGATGTCATTTTAAATTAGCGTCAATACCTGACCCGCGTCTTTTTTTTCCTACCAATGCTGGTAACCGAGAGGGTAATGCCAGCGTAGCCGGAGGAGTAGGTGACCTCACGGGGCTCTAACCTGATGACGTTGCTAACACTAGCCCTAGCAAAAGCAGTACTTCGCAGAATCTACCACCGGATCAGAAACGCGACCCACTGAGAAGATTCGGCGAGAAACCCAGTGGGCTGTGTCTGTGGGTTAACAATTAGGTAGGAAGAAACAAAAAAAAATCCGAAGCGTCAGAAATAACGAAGACACAATAATAAACGGCCTGTTCACTAATTTTAATTCAAATTTATATACGGTGAAACTTTTTTTTTACAAATTAGTAGATCTAGTTGCGTTTTCAATTACAGATCTCTCAATTAGCCTCATGCTGAAAAGAGTACAAATGAAATCCGCTCAACACGGTTCACGTACAACTTATTTCTAAATTGGCGCTCACAGCTGAACGATATTATTAATTAAACACAAACCTTGTAAAGAACAATGTGTCGAAAGCTAGAGTTCCAGTCATTAATACATTATATGCATTGTTGTTTGAGTATGTGTCACTTGAAGTTCCTAAAAAACAATTGTTTTTTATAAATAAATACGATTTGTTTTATAAATACATGTGGAGTGCAAGATTACGCAAAAAGGAATACAGAGTTCCAACATTTCCGGAAGCCGAAGAAGTTTCGAGTACAATCAACCTTTTACATAGATCCCTCGAAATTCAATATCAGGAATTGTCACCAAGAGAAATGTATTACTATTGTCTTAAATCTCCACCAATATCAAAATTTAAAAACAAATCAAATCAACAAACTAAATGTTCCCCTGGATTGTGGTTACTCCAAACCCTGGATTATACTGCAATAGAATTATGTGACAAATTCTAATTTAAATAACTCAATTCTCACCTGAAATCTGGTCCACGGAAACAACTACATGCACATAAATAACCCAAAATGTTGCTCCAATTTTCAAAGCATGTGTCAAAGACAGATCCTTGTTAGATGTGTTCTTATTAAATATTCTCTTCCAAGAATATATTAATGAGAAACACAATAACAGCTGGCACATGAAACTCTTCTTTTTGTTTGTAACCAACGGATTTGCTGCTCTGGAGCCAACTGGTAGGCTGTTGCGTGAGTTGCACTGCTTTTTGTACTTGCCACATCTGTTGCAACTATGTATTGTCCTATCTGCGACCAAATCCATAGTGAATCTAGGATCAGTAACATATTTCCCTGGATATGAATCATCAGTGTAAGCCATATCCATATCATCCTCTAATTTATCGTCAATCCTTTTTGTCCTTTTGCTGTCTCTCTCCTTGTTTATAGTGTCTGATTCATTTATTTTTTCTAGATCGAAACTCATCGATTTTTTTCTATATGGTATTAATTTTATGCAATCTATTTCAATGATTGTGGCTATTATACATACAGCAATTAGTATGGTAGTTATTGTTACGAGTAAAATGAATCCAGCATCTGTTTTCAAATCGTAATAAGGCTCAACGTGTCTAGAACTTTTAACTTTGACCCTCCTAGGGAGCATTCTGTTAGTTTTAAGATTGTTGGTAACCATTATTGAGAAATTTATTATAGATTCGACGTCGTTCAAGTTACACGATCTGGGCAGACACACTCCTAGTATTATTTCGTATGACTGAAAAGTAAATGTACGTAGAGTAGCAATAGAGGATTGAAAACGAACGTTATTAAATAAATAAATAAATATCGTTTAAGTTTAAAACGCATTTTCTTAAAATTTTTAGTCAGGCCACTTCAATTTTAGTGATTTTATTGTTGTGTTATAAACATTTGGCTATATAAATGTCCGATTTTGTTTTAACTAAGCGTGATCTGCGAGACTAATTTATTTTGGTTACCCATTCAGAATAATAATTATGATTATGCTTTTTAACAAAATTTCAAATAAACAAGTTTTATGCCTTTAATTTTATTTGTCAATATTAGTTAACAGTTAGTGATACTTACTCTTTGAAATCTCGTAATATTTAAATCTATATTCAGAGTACTGTAAGAGAGTTTAATAGGTACTTTCTTCACATCTGCAGACGAATGCGTCTGATCTAGACTTATTGCCCATTGTTGAGAATCTACAATCGTTAATCAGTTACTAATTAGAATTTGTGCACTTAAAATGGCGTCCATTGTAATCGTTCAAATTTATCTCTATAAGAAGAAATAGGCATCCAACGGCTCCGATTAACTGTAATGAAACTACAATATTCGAATTGTTGGGTACAAGAAAGTTTTGAAGGGATTTTGCTTGTCAGGGTCACTGCTCTTCCCATACAAATGTAAAATATAATGATACATTTGAACACAAGAAGCCAAATCTAAAATTCTACAAGAGGCCGCTATCAAAATTATGTAAACTAGAATGTAATGACTAATGTAAGACTAGAATGTAAATTAGAAAAAAACTTCGCTTATTGGCATAGAGCTGTGGTAAGTCTTGATCTTCCTTTAATACTTTTTAACAATGTAGAGAATTTTTTCATGATATTTTTTCTTTATCAAAGAGCCATAGCGTGAAAGTTTACCACTTATGTTATTGTTTATGCAGCTTAAATACCTCATTCCGTAGCAAATATCCGTAGTGTTTTCTACGTACCATCGTCAAAATTCCGTGCTCTAAGTCGTTGGGCTGTCGCATAGTCGATATCATGGAAACTCCTGGTAGAATTGTGAAGACAGCTCACATACTCATTCTGCGATAAAGCAAATATTTTATAAAATTTATTGTCGCAATATTCCGCAATTTTTACATCAAAATGAAGTTCCAAAACCCCACTCACAAACAGTATTCCATCCTTAGCTGGTGGGACAGTTGTTAGGTTCAATAGACCTAACTCACATAAACTTCAAGATCTATCTCGCGAGCCTGTCTCTCGATTTGATAGAAATTGAACTTTTGCTTTTTTCTTTACCTATCTGCCTGTAAATTCGGGGCTTACGGGGTTCAGCCTGAAGAACCTTTTCAACATCTGTCCTAACAAGAGGAGGGTTTCTCTGAATCTACCACCGGAGTAGAATCGAGACCCACTGAGCAGATCCGGTGAGAAACTCAGTGGGTTGTGTTTGTGTTAAGATGTAAATCATCCGAGTGTCTAGGCAGTACGATTATCTACGCAGGAGTGATTTTTGGTAGAAAGAATGCCGACAGTAAGAATTAAGTATCACGCAATTGCTTAGAAGCTAATGACGACCGGCCCAGCCTCTCGGATGACCTAAACCCTAGCATCAGCGCAACACATAAAACAACGTGTAACAACAAAATGGAAAAATAAAACAAACTCACCAAACTGAGACACTGATGTTTTGAGCCGAGCCAGAATCTATTTCCATCATTTAGACCGGACTGGTAGCGCCCTGATGAATCTACGGCTATTCACAGAAGAGACATTTTCAGTTGTGAGAACCTTAAAAATCCTACTGATAGTAGGTATAAAAGCGAAAGTTTGTAAGAATATGTGGATGTATGTTTGTTACTCTTTCACGCAAAAACTACTGGATGGATTTTGAGAAAACTTTACAATAATATATCCGACACATCAGAATAACACTTTATAAAGATATATACCTAGTGTGAATTTCCCAAAATATAACGGTAAGTAGGGGAAAAACTGCCATCTTAATTTCATAATCAACATTTAGTTAAATGTTCCCGAAGTGAAGCGAGGGCGGGTCGCTAGTTATCTATATTTTATAAACGTAACCTAACCGCCGGTTTTATGACAGCCGTCGAAATTAGTACGTGCCAATTTGTTCGTTATAATCATCAATACATCATCATCATCATCATCAATACATCAATCATCAATACATGAACTTTCCACCGAATCACTTATTGACTCTCTAAGCTGTACCGGGAGTCCGAGTTCGATGTCTTTGTAAAAGACGAGGTCACCCAGTTTGCTTCACCGCTTCTTCTGTGGACTGTGGTTCTTTTAAGAGCCAAATGTAGAGTTAACTGTGACTTACATGTGAAATAAATATGTATTTGAATTTTGGTATATTCTTCATTGTCGCAAATCGTATACACAGCACGTAGGCATTTTAATTTTGCGTTTCGAATCCTTTACAGTTTTATTAATTACATAATTACGGACGACCGTGATGTTAATCGTCGACATTCGTATATTATGCTAACTACCCTATAATTTTCCAAAATAAAAACATTTGTTGACGTAACTGTTAAATTTCGTATTCTGAGTCTGCACGTGATGGGTGTGATTCTACTAGCTCTGCTTCGAAATAATACCTTACTGGTTTTCGGTTGTTATTTTATTATGTGATTTTATTGGATGTTTTTTTTTCTGAAAACAATTAATAAAAAAATAGAGGTACAAACACTTATTACTCATTACGATCTGCTGTAGATAATTATCGTGAGCACGCGAGCGTGATCACTGAACTTGTACGAGCATTCACATCAACAGCGAAAGTTACGAAACACGCAGAATTAATATTAAATAAATAAATCAACGCATTTCATGTGTACTTGTTAACGAGACTTTTTCACGCCTGATCATAAGTGGCGTGGAAAGAAACAATGTCTCAAATATCTTATACCTACATTGAATGGTATTATGGCAGGGAATTACAAAGAAAATATAGGCTTGGGCCCGTAGATACTAGATTTTTTAATGAAAGGATGGCTGATGGTTTGTAATCCAATCCAGTTTTACGCAGAGTAGCAGACGCACTGGAAATGATGTAAAATAGAACATAAAACCTTTATTTGCCGTGAAAGGACGATGTATTTTAGTAATAAGTATGTTTTTTTCCCTGCCTAATCGTTGGTGACCTAACGGGCTAATCCAACTACACGCGGACCGGTAGATGGCCGGGATAGACCGGCTCATGGGCTCAACCTGAAGGAATTACTAACACTAGTCCTAGCAAGAGCAGTACTTTGCAGAGCCTACCGGATCGGAAACGCGACCCACTGAGAAAATCCGACGAGAAACTCAGTGGGTTCAGTTTGGTATGATTTGATCTAAAATCGTTTAATTCATCCGATTACATTTTTTAGGTTACATTTGCCCTTTTCCAAACAAGAGAAAAAGTACGAGTCCCAATACAAATGTTTATGACACTTACGAGTATCGACAATACCTAAACGTTAAAGTCCTTAGATCGTCACAACCGATAGTAGATTATGAGCTGGTATTCTTGAGACAACAATACTAAAATATATTACGATAGAAATTCCTTGCTGTACTTTATACGGAATGTAACGCAATGTAGGTAGAACACAATAAGAAAAAAGACGCGCCTGACCCACTCCACCAAAGGACCACAGAGGCGTTTGCCATAAGTTTATGGATAACCTTTTGGGTTGTCAAAAAAGGACTTAATAATTTATTTTACAATTAACAATACTTCCCTTTGTTTTGGGATAGTAATGTACTATCATTTCGACTTTAAGAACTGTATCCTCAAGCTTTGTTTATGCGCATTTGTCGTTCAATTTGCTGCTTTAAGTGATGTACAGAAAAACGCGAGTTAGATACTTAGGTACCTACCTATTCGGGGTGCGCCATTACCAAACTTTAAAAGGACAGTATTCATTAAATACCTAGTTATAAAATCGATTCGTTAGGTACTGTACTTCCTCAGCAATGCCTTATGTTCTATGTAGTCGTTTAATAAGATGTTATTTGGTTATTCTTACCTTTGAATGCCCAAAGTTGACCATCTGAAAGATCTTTGAACATGTCTCTCATATCTTCCCAGCATGAGACCTCGATAGATAAATGCACACCGTTTGATATTTTAGGCCAAAGTACGGCTAAGAATGAAGGATCGTACACTTGTAATAAGTTTTCGAACACATCAACACGATTTCCCGCGAGTTTAGAATTTTTCAAACGGGATTCCTTTTTACTATCAAAATTATTACGAGTAGATGTAACTACGCTTAATTCGAACAAAAATGTTATAAACCCGACAAAAATAATCTTTAACTCCATCCTATTTCAATTAGTCGTAAAATAATAATTTAGAATACGTGCTACTTACACGCAAACTAACTCCGGAGTGAATATTGATCAGGCAATTGTAATCATTGGAAAAATTAAATCCGTGATTGTTTTATTGGTGGGCCGTGTGTTTCAATGTTGTTGAAAATCCGGAAATCAAACAAGAATGTAATAAATAACGTAACTTTCTCCTGTTAGAGACGATCATGGAGAATAGCAATTATTGCAGCGGCAGCGTAGCGGTTATTTGCGGTAAAATCCAAAATAAAAAATTACCAGAGAAAACTTGTTTACACATTCAACAATAACAATAATCGGAGAGCCAATTTCCATAGACCTCGCACAGGCTTCATTAACGAAAAGCCAACAGTGAATCATTTTGATTACACGTCTCATACTTTCCATTTACTTCCACTTTCTTTATATTATATTAAGAGGATTTTAGAGGCAAGTACCTACAAGGCACATAGCATTCGTCTTGGGAATAAATTCCCAACCGATATGACGTCTTTCTAGAAATGAAGTTTGGATCGTCAGTGGTAGGCAGCGACTTTGCTGTATCCCTGACATTACTGTCCATGGGCGAGGGTGACTACTTTTTTTTATTGCTTAGATGGCTTTAGAGCTTTTACGAGCTCACAGCCCACCTGGTGTTAAGTGGTTACTGGAGCCCATAGGCATCTACAACGTAAATGCGCCACCCACCTTGAGATATAAGTTCTAAGATCTCAGTATAGTGACAACAGCTGCCTCACCCTTCAAACCGAAACGCATTACTGCTTCACGGCAGAAATAGGCAGGGTGGTGGTACCTACCCGCGCGGAGTCACAAGAGGTCCTACCACCAGTAACTGCTACTTCACATCAGGTCTGCCTGTAATGGCAATAAAAAGAATAATAAACCAGCAAAGAGTTGAAGACATGAGTGGGTGAAGGGGATATGATGCAATTTGTTAACTTGGAGAAAACAGGCAACTTTTGTTAGGTAGGTACCTGTACTTTTTCTTCGTACAAAACTCCTTCATCACATGCAATTTCGAAAAATAGCCTTATAACCCAGAGTTTTAAGGTCTAATATGGTTTAAATGCACATAACAGCTTCAATGTAAAAACTCAAAAATACTAAAAATTGTAGGTACTTAACCCCTTCATCCACTCGTGTCTTCAATTAAAAATTTACATAATGACCATACTAGATACTTGTGTTATTGTTTGAACGAGGGCCATCACTAAAGAAACCACTATTACTGGAAAGGATCTTTATTAACTGGAATAAAACTATGCTATTGAATTTTTACAATAATCAATCGCTACAATGATTTCCATTTGGCTTTTACTCCAAATCTCGAAATAAAAGAACACGATTCAATGTTAGTAATTACATTTATTACTTGTCAAAAGACATTATAGCTTAAAATTATCTAATTTCATGTACTTAGTAAATACAATTAGCTAGATTTATTTCAGACAGACGGCCTCGCTCCCGTACTTCATATTACAATGTAGGTATGTACATAAAATATATTTTACTGTGACAACTTAAATCACAAGTAGTAAAGACACTAAACAGACGTAAACCCCTGCACACAAGCGAATCTCTCGAATAGAAAAGTTAATATTTGAACCATAGCGCTATATTTTAATTAAAATATTACGTAAAATCATACTGATGCCCCAGTGCAGGCGAAAGAGGAAACCAACAAACAGATTTATACTTTGATTATCATTATATATATAATTGGGATCTCCCCTTTCTTATTAATATATTTATTAAACAAGTTATATTATAAAAAAAAAAATTAACTGATTATCGTACACATCCTTTCAGGAATAAAAGTCATAAGTTGCCATTACATAGTATTGCAAGTGGCGAGATATTCCCACTACATAGTGTGTGTAAAACACATGTATACAGAAAATACTAATATTGTGTATAAAATAACATAACAAAACATTGACACTACAAATAATCTGTTTTTTTAACATACAAGACTGGAAGTAAGTCCATTAATCTTTGAATGAATTACCCACAGGGACAGGATGTAAATTCAATCATACGAAGGCAACGCTCTGTTCAGTGTTTACTATGGATTTAATAGTTGGGAATATCTAACAAGCCGCGTCTGCGATGCTCAACAATAAATGTAGTAATGAATTTTATACATCTTTTTATATTACAATATTGTTGAACAACTCCAAAGAGGCTTATTTTTTACGTCTAAATCCATTGGTGGTTCATTTATATTACACATAAAAGGACAAATAATTTAAGCTTAATCTTAATATATCTCGGTTATTCTATTGTCCATGTAAGCGAGATACTGATTTTATTTATCTATATAATTATGAGTTCGAACTTAAATATAAGAATAAAATTGTTTTAAAATGTACATGTTGTATCAAAGCATAGTAAGATATATGTATGAACGGTGTTGGCGAAAACGAAGGTATGTAGTAATGCTGGTGGTTACTGACATGACAATAACTAAAATCGCGGTCAAATAAATTATTTTCTTGGTGATAGCGACGTAGCCATATACCTACTTTTTACATGCCGGGTTGACGAAAACTGGACTCTGAAGTTCTTTATGGTTAAGCTCGCCAAATAAATGTAGTTTTCCAGTCATCTAATAATAATATTAGCGAGTTTACAGTCTTGACCATGTGTGAGATTTTCTTCAAGTCTAGCGCTCTAAAATTCACTTTACAAGTGAAACATGTAATGATTTATTCTCTAATTTTGTTCTAATAAATCTGATTTCTCGTGTTTAGAAATTTTGTTATTGAAATGCCTTGTCCAAATATTGCTTGCTATTAATTACTTGAACAAAAATAGTTTTGTATTTAATGTTAATTAATGTTATGTATTTAAGTGCAATATAAAACAATTTTACCTCATTCGATAGCGCCGACGCTCCATCGTTAACATTCTCGCTTACATTAGCGTACGTCTAAGCACACAATTTATACTCGATACATAAAATAATTCACCCGTGGTTTAAATTCAAATCAAACAAACATTACAAACAATTCATTAGATTTCATTAAATTTCATAATTGTATTTTGCCATTTGTATTTTTTCGACCTGTGAATCAATTAGATGTAGGTGCATTCAGAGCAGAGTTAAAAAAACTCTTAACAATGTAAATGAAATACATTGTTTTCCGCCACAGATATAATTTTATGTTTACCACGAAAAATAAATACAATTAAAAATTTCTTGATACTCTGTGACTAATGCAACCTGCTTCAAAAGGTAAAGATATTTAATACGATGAATTCACGTTGCTTAAGCCTTGTAGTTTAAGTACTAAAATTCTCAAACCCCCCGTAACTTTAAAAGGTTTAATTCGCAACTCCGAACTCTCAGAACTCCATAAAATTAATACAAGATAAAAGTGTTTAAAATATTTATTCAAACTACAGAAAACGATCTCAAATACTGCCTCCCTCAAATACTGTTTATTTCAAGTTTTAAAATCTTTTAATTTATTAAATCGTTGCATTTGGATTATATTAATTCATTATGTTTCAGGTTTAATGAAATAGTGATTTTGTTTCTCAATGACTGAACTTCAAAATCATGTAAAACTAGTTTACAACTTCCCAAAAGGATCTTGAATTTCACAAAATCATCGAAACTTATTTTCTTACTTATACAAAATTGCAATATTTTTATAAATAGCCGATTCGGCTATTTCTCCTATAATAATAACATTAGTATGAATTCTTATGTATTAGTGAACTTTGCATATCTGGTTGTGTTGTCTACACAATCATCGGCGTGCTCTGGTGTCAGAGCGACATACATCATTCCACCAAAACGTGAAAAGAAATAAAAGTAATTATAAAAAAATTCTATATTTTATCTCGAAGCGAAGGCCGTTTGTCGCTGTTGTCTCATATATAATCTTTCTCGATACAATTTACGTAAAACGAAATTATTTTTTACAGAATAGAAAAACCTTGATCATTTAATAAAATGTGCATAACGTATCATAATTTGATGCTATTTAATACGAGTTCACTCTCACAGCACACTGGTGAACACAGAAGTCAACCCAGTAAAGGCAAAATAGGCTAAATCAAACTGTTTCTAGAATAATCGAAATCTTGTCATATTTGAATACTCACAGAAACTACTCAATATTTTAAAATTCATATCAACTACCGAAAAAATTAGCAATATTTAATTTTATAGGTTAATTTTATTTTATTGTAAAACTATGTTCATCAATATTCTAAATAAATATTTGTATGGCCTACGTTGAAGAGTGAACTAACATTAAGAGCTGAATTATATTAGGTCAGACCCAGTTGGTTGGTGATCAACTTTTGCGGTTAACAGCACTGCGCCGCGGGAGCACGTGCAAACATCCACTACAAACGCAAGCCCGAGGAGGTGGCCAATAGTTTATTAGATTCCATTAATATAAATATTTCTGTATGCTAATAATTATTTACTCCACATTATATTGTCGGTCGGACCTAATATAAAACAAGTCTGTGGACTCGAGATGAGTCATGATTATCCGGATCCTATAAGCATTACGTTGAACTTAAACTGTACAGAGTGAGATTACACGCGCACACTCACACACACGGACACGGAACGATCACGACAACTTCCTTAATAACTACGTTGCAATCTCCGGTTAGTACTTCCTCAGCCGCTTGTTCGGCCGTTGTCCGTCGTTGATGAAGCCGCCCTGTTGATGGAATACAATACAAAATTAATACGTAATCACGTGAAACCAGAATTCACATAGTCTAAATAATCTAATAACAGAGATTTTAATAAGTAAATAAAGGATTCGCATTTATTCGTCCCGAAATTAATTGACTATCACAGAAACTATTGACAGACTAACTGATCTATCAAGTTATTGTGGTAACTGCTGAGACATTTTTATTGTGAATAGTCTAAAACAGATACCTTCAACCAAAATCTGAAAAAAAAAATTGTTACAAAACATATCAATAATTCAAAATTGTTAAAATATGTTTGAGATGAACTTATTAAAACCTCTGCAGGTGTCCATGCAGTACCTTGTCAGTGAACAATGCTGTACTACAGGTAACTCTGAAAAGAATGCACAGAAATTATTTAGTTTGCAAAGAAAAAGATGTGCTTTTCTTTCGGTTTGGGAACTGCATTTCTTTGCAAATAATTCTATGCACTCAATTCTTGGTCTTTTTCAATTTAAATTTTGAACAGAAATGAAAACCATGCAAAATATTGAAACAAAAGCCAATGATAGGTTCATTGCAAAAAAATACAGTAAATATTTCTTTTTTTTTTGTTTACATTATTTATTAATAAATTTAGAAAGCAACACTAATCACTTTAGAACAATCACTATACAAACCATAAATCAGAAAATATTTTGATTTAATATTATTATTTTTATTTATCTTCAAATAAATATCAGTAATTTATTTGAACACAAACAAAACATTTTCATTAGTAGATATTGCACTGTTTAAAAAATATTCATATCATTAACAGATTACAGTTATTGCTTACAAAGTTTAGACAGTCATGGGTGTGAGCGACTAAGTACTATTCAGATTTACACTTGCAATCAGGGCAGTTGGGCTAAGCCCAAGTATATTTGGTAAATTCCCATTAAGCATATTAAGCAGCAGTTAATGCAGGTAACAAATCCTTCATTTTGTTTTGATCTAATGATCTAATGTAAGAAGTCCCAACTCCCACTAAAAAGTGACTGTAATAATAAGTATCTAACATATATTTGAGCATGTTAGTATACAATTGAAATAAATTACACCCGAAACCAGCACGTTGAGTTTGGTGAGAGTTGCGAGTAGGGTACGAGTGGGGCGACTCACGGGTCTGGCGAGGAAGCCCTGCGGCGGCATGTATGACGTCACGGGGGCGAACCCGCCGCGAGGGAAGCCGCCGCCGCGCCCGAAGCCGCCGCCGCCGCCGCGCCCGCGCGTGCCTGCAACATGCCAACACTTGTCAGAACTTCCCTCACAGGACTCTCCTTAGAGAGAATGAGTTAGAATACTTCTGATAGATTCACTTCTACCGCGTGTGAATGTGCAGTTCACATACATGTTTGATTTTAAAATAACCTGTGTAAGGGGATTCAACTGTTTCGGTGATTTGATTTAATATATTTAATGATTTTAATATTAATAACTAATCTTCTAAATTAGCGTCTCTCATTTACTTCACTACTTTTATTAAATATATCTAAGTATTAAAATTAAAGTGAAGAACTTTTTCCACAGTCAATTAGTAATTCAGTATATTTAAAGTCCCCCAGCTAATTATAATGTAATTACTAGTGGTATAGTGCATTACGAACCCGCCTAGGCAGGTACCACTGTTCTGTGTATTTGGCACAATACTCTCACTCCTACAAAATTACATTTTCTGCAATGACCTCACTAAGAGCCAAAAATCTAAGCAATTCCAAGCATGATAAAATGAGCCAAATAAGGCTTTATTTAACAACTAGCTGACCCTGCAGACTTCGTAGTGCCTTAATCGATAAATAAAAGACCTAGTTTTATATAAAATAAACTTAAAACAAACAAAAGGAATCCGTCCGACTATGATGTGATGTGTCCCCATCGAAGGAAAAACAAAATTTGTTATTTTTATGTAATTCCGAGCATTTTCATATTTATTTACCCTTTAAACCTTTTCTGGACTTCCATAAATAATTTAAGACCAAAATTAGCCAAATAGGTCCAGCCGTTCTCCATTCTCGAGTTTTAACGAGACTAACGAACAGCAATTCATTTTTATATATATAGAAGATAGAAGAAGAAGAAGAAGATAGAAGATGATACTGAGCATACCTCTAAAGTTCCCCTGCGCGTTGAAGGAGCTCCCGCGGGACCGGAAGTTGTTGGCGCGGCCGGCGGGGCTGCTGGTGTTGTTGGCGGCGCTCGCAGCGTTGCGGTTCTGCTGCTGCGGGTGCTGCCGCTTGTTCTGTTCGCACAAACGTTGGAGATTCGATTTCAAAAGTTAGATAACATAGCACTCGAAGTGAACATTGAAGTAGACGAAGAAGGTTGAACTATAGATGCAAGAATCAACTAAAATCCATCAACATTTAAAATTTTTTTTTTTCATTGATACAACTTGTTTCGGCTGCAAAAATATTCTATGCTCTGTATTTCCTAGGAAACCTTGTACAACATAGACATGTGGCTTGGCGAAAAAAATCCGTAGTAATTAATATTCTATAAATATTAAAAAGTTATGGTGTTACAAAATTTAGCTTCAAGTTCACCTAACAAACCTTTCTGTCAATTTACAGATCTTTACAACTGAAGAAAAAAAGTTAAAAAACAAAGGTATTTCTTCTAATTTTAATCAGTCATCTTTAACCATATAGGGAAGAAATCTTCTTGGCTATACTTGGTAATGTTTTCCACATCCTAAGACTACTGTGGTGGCACACAGCGAGTGTCCACCACCTCATACCTTGTTAATACTTGCATTATGAGCTTTCTGTTCGTCTTCGTCGCGATATTTGGAGACGGTGACGAGGAACCCGTTGATGCGGAGCTCGCGGTCCAGCTTCAGCGCCTTCTCGACGGACTCCTTGTCGTGGAATGTCACCCGCACTGTACAAGTCAATTATTAGTACTGGTAGCTTCCGGATCGACCGATGTCACTACGCCAGGATTCCCACCTCCAAGATCGGGCGGATACTACATTTTTAGTAAACACGTACCTAACACCTAACGAACGACATCCACCGAGGACATTTCATTGTTGATAACCAGAGCGTGGCATGTTTGTATCGTTTTTATGTCATTGTTTTTAAAATTGTAAATTTTTTATATGAATTAATTTTATTTTATTTCCAACTGTAAAGGTTTTTTACCAACATTTTTACCATCATACTACAAAAGTACACTGATTTTGTGTTTAGACACAACAAAGTTTTTAGAAACTGAATTCATTTTTCTAACATTACCATCATGAAAGTGAAACATATATAAGATGCAATCACACTGGTGTTTTCATTTACCACTCAGCCCCCTAGAGCCGTATTGTGATTATTTCATGGTTTTAAAGTGTGTTAAGTCAAACATCAAGTTGCATTAATCGAATTTACTTAGACACTAATTGCAGTGGCAGGTTGCGAACTCACAGATCTTGTACTTGGTCTTGCTGAACTCGTGGATGTGCGCCACATCGCCGCAGTGCGCGAACAGAAGACGCACGTAGTCCGTGCTGGCCTCGTAGGGCACCCCCACCAGCACGGCGGTCTCGGCGCGTGACTCCACCGCCACGGAGAGCGCGTGCCCCTCCACCACGGCGCCGTGCTCCGACAGCGCCTGCCACAAGACTCTTGTCATTTCTTTTTTATTTATTTATTGCTTAGGTGGGTGTTAAGTGGTTACCAGAGCCCATAGACATTTACAATTTAAATGCCGCCACCCACCTTGAGATATGAGTTATAAGGATCTCACTTTTAACAGTTCACCGACCACACTCATTTTGTTTTGTTTTTTTTAATTACACAATGAAAAGACATCTTACTTATATTATGTAGGTAATTTATATTAATTACCTACTATTACCTAATTATTATTTAGGTAATTTATATTATGTAGGTAACCTATTTGTGTGAATCACAAATAGGTTGTTATTTATACATAGAGAAAAAAGCAGCTACACCTATATTTTATATATAGTTATATAAGTTTCAAAAAGTTATTGCAGACTTAAAAGGAAATATCAAACCACATAAGTCACTTCAACATGATTATCGGGGTTCGACCGACTGCCAAATAAAGGTACGAAATTTATTATTCTGGTCGACTCCGATGGAAACGATAAATGGAAGGTTTCAGTGAGGACAATAATTTCATAGTCCGAGGTTCGTTTATGGATGGTTTTGCCGTCCCATAATTTCTTAGGATCATTTTTTTTTTGTTTTTTATATATATTTTTTTTTATTATATAATTGCATAACTTGAACGAATTATGTGCCTACGATTTCAAAGGCACACTGGCGTCAGCTTAGCTCTATGAAATATACCCGTATTTGTTTCGAATGTTAGCATATTAGTTATAACATTTTATGCACAGAGTGCTGTCATTTTTCACTATGGCAACTTCTAGAATATGCGTCTATTGCATCGAAAATAAATAAGAAAAAGCAGCGAATCACCTATTTTCGGTTTCATTCGATGAATAGGTTAGATACGTGGTTACCGAAGCCCAAAAACATCCCGTTTCAAATACCGACACCACCCTTGCACCGTCAGGTGCAAACTTTTGGTATGGTAACAACTGCTTTAACTGTGCTACGCAGTACCTACCCATGCGGGCTTACAATCTTTCCTGCCAAAATTGACTACCTCTTGCTAAAAAATTTAAATTATAAATGCAAGTGCTATTTGCCATCTGGGTATCTGATAAATAATTTAGATAATATTAAAAAACTATAACGTAATTTGACTTAATGTCACTCATTTTTTTGTAGATAGGCAATGTTGAATCATCAAAGCTATTTTTATTTCGTACCAATAGGATGTTACTAGCTATTAGAATCACAAATTATGGTAACTCGAGTAGTGATGGTAGAGCAAGCTTGACAGATGGGATATGCCCATTCCAATGATTGTGCGATGACGCCCAAATTCATCTCATCATCGAAGACAGCTATTCTTCATGTACTATCTATGATTTTCATTAACCACTTAAGATAATAAGGGTCCTTAGCTCATTCTACACGAGGAAGGCTTTCCACTTTCAAGTGGCAGGATTTTGTATGAGTAATGGTTTCAAATTGTTTTAGTATAAGTCCATAGACATACACTGTATCAGAGTTCAGGCCATATGAGATCAGTCCCCATAATATTGTAATGTGCTTCCTCAATCTAAAATGCAATACCAATTGGCAGGGGCTTAATCCTCAGCACAGCCCACTGAGTTTCTCGACGGATCTTCTCAGTGGGTCGCGTTTCCGATCCGGTGGTAGATTCTGCTCTGGCTAGGGTTCGTGTTAGCAACGTCGTCAGGTTTGAGCCCCGTGAGCTCACTTATTAGTTAAGGTTACGCTGAAATAGCCCCTCAAGGCTATCAGCTTAGGTAGGAAAAAAAAAAGAAAAAAAAACAGTAGCTCACAATACACTGTACCACCAGCAAGTGGTACTAGGTGAAACTGGTGAACTTGATGAAAAGATGTTAAAACAAGGACAAATTATCTAAACTATATTATCTTTTTTTTTGCCTATCTAGGCAGACGAGACGAGCATACGGCCCACCTGATGGTGTGGTTACCGTCCCAGGGGCAGAGCCAGGCCACCGCCTACCGCTTAATACTCTCCACAAGCCTCGCTTGAAGGACATGTCATGGCGTTCGGGAAATACCGTGGAGGGGAGCTCAGGAGCTCATTCCAAAGCCGCATGGTACATGGCAAAAAATATATCTGGAAACGCACAGTGGCTCTAGGTTGTATGGATGAACTCAAGCCGGCGTCGGGCCGTGCCATGGTAACAACGAGATGATAGTATTGTCTCAAACAAAGTGGTATCATCTTAGGACACTTTCTGTTGAATAACTGAACAAATACAAAGACTCAATCTCTCTTCAAATCTGTAATTTGAATTCAATTCAATGTTCATTAAATGCTTCCTTTAAAGCATTGTGTTGTAAAACTGCTTGTTTAATCAAAAGAAACCTTACTGTTAAACTAAAAACTAAGAAGTCAGTACTCATTTTTTAGAATCAGTACAGAATATATCACAGTAGATTGTGGTGGTCATGAAATTTTTCAGCTATCAATGATTTTGTTCTTATTAAGAACTCTTTTGTACTTAATATTATTCACTATTTAAAAAAAACCTGTGTGTAAATAATTTTGTTGTGAGATTAGGCAGGAAGATTTTTTGACACTTCATTTAAAATTCAGTAACCAAACAAAAGAAAATTAGGAGGATAGTGAATGGGAATTGGCAAAATAGGGAAGGGATTACTCACCGTAACTCCACCAATACAAAATGAAAAATTCACATGAGGGCTGATTTCCTACCACAAACAAAACTTACCAGAGCAATTTTGAAACTTTTAGCAACTCAAATAAAAAACAAACCAATAATTAAATATATGGTAGAAGACCAGCCTGTTTTAACATTCAAATAGTCATTCTTTAGTGATGACTCGAGGGTAGCAGTTGTTTATTGAAAAAATTTGGAATAAATAACTTCATCATTAGCCTTATGTTAAAAGCCTTTTTGGCCAACTAAATTCTACTATGCATTTTTTTTTTTTCAAATAGAAAAAATAATAAAATGTTAATATAAACTTTTGTTTACCTTTTCCAGACTGTCTTTGTTTTTGAATTCGACTATAGCCGATAATGTCGGAGTTGTGGTCAGTTCAGTTACAATGATTGGACCACGTCTAAAAACAAAGAAAAATTTGCCTCATTAATACTGACTCTAGTTGGGAATGCCTGCATTCCGAGTGCTACTTGCATCTCCAGAATACTTAGCAAACACAATCTAATCATAGTTTACTTTACTGGTTTATTTTCTATGAAATATGGCATATTTGCGAACTGATATTTGAATGTTTGCTAACATTTCAATAGATGACATGTGAGATCATTCATTAGACATGTTAATTTACTCACTTGACTGTATTGATTTCCCCGTGTTTTGAGAACAACTCCTTGAGCTTTTCCTGGTAGTCGAAGAGGTAGCTCGAAGGGAGGTTCTCGACCAGCAATTTACCAGTTTCTACTTTTTCCTCCTGCTTCTCTTCAGTTTTTGTTTCGCCATCAGGATTTTCTTGATTCTGATCGCCCTCCGTAGACTCATCAGCGTTCTCAGCGCCTTCAGCAGCGATTCCGTCGTCTCCATGCTCAACTTGATCCGATACGCCATTGTTCTCTTCGGCTTGTTCTGGAACTTCTGCTTCTTCAACGACATCTTCAGCGGGCTTGGGTTTGGCTGCCTGAGTTTTAGCTCCGCGACCTTTCTTTTGGGCTACCATGATGACGAACTGTGCTGTTATAAAACAATAAGTATAAGCTCAAACGTACACCGCCTCATTCATAATTTTACGATTACGTTTCCCGCCATGTCTGATTCGTGTGATACACTTGGCTTGGCGCTTGATTAGAGATCTCAAGGACGACGTTAAGAACGCGCGAAATGGGTGGGATGCCAAAGCAAAACAAAGAACGAAATAATCATAATAGTATTGATTTTCAACAACATAATGTACCTGCGAGTGTAGTAAAACAAATTAAACACGCACGCCATGAGCATGCTTCACAGTTTACGCTTATGGAAAATCACAAGCACTACGCTAAACTACGCTTCGGATGACGAAGCCGCTACTCCGTACGAAATATAATAGAAACGATACTTCTATAAAACATTGTATGAAAGAACTTACGTATTTAGATAAAAAATGCCAATAATAACTGTTTCACAAATTCACACAAAATGACGCCAAACTAAATGCAATAAAAACACGATACCGGCATCACGCAAGCGCATCCGCCATTAACAAATTTAGTTAAGCTATAGGGATGGGATGGGATTTAAAATCTAGTAATCGTCCAATCTAATTTAGATCAAAAATATCGATTTTAAATTTTTATAATAAATTGATCAAATAAATCAATCTCATATATAGGAAAAAATTGAGATTCAGTTTTTGCTATCTCGAATATTCTTTCTGGTCGTTCCCTCAATGTTGAGGATCATGACTGTATGTCAATCTTCTCCACTCGGTCCGGTTCTGCGCTATATGTACCGCTCCCTGTATCTGGCCTCCAGTCACCTCCTTGAGTTGGTCCACCCATCTAGCTGGCGCTCTTCCTCTAGCGCGCTTCCCCTCCATTTGTCCGAGAATGATGAGTTTCTCCAGGCTGTGCAATGAGGATCGCATTATGTGCCCAAAGAAACTCCGGATCCTTTCCTGGCACATAGTCAGCAGGCGCTTGGTGACCCTCAGCTCTTCGAGGATGGAGACATTGGTTCTCATAGCTGTCCAAGGAATGCGTAGCAGCTTTCTCCAGCAATACATTTCAAAGGCCTCGATCTTTTTGCGTTCCTTTTTCCTGAGACACCAAGTCTCCACCCCGTACAGGAAGATAGAGAAGACCAACGTANAACTCCGGATCCTTTCCTGGCACATAGTCAGCAGGCGCTTGGTGACCCTCAGCTCTTCGAGGATGGAGACATTGGTTCTCATAGCTGTCCAAGGAATGCGTAGCAGCTTTCTCCAGCAATACATTTCAAAGGCCTCGATCTTTTTGCGTTCCTTTTTCCTGAGACACCAAGTCTCCACCCCGTACAGGAAGATAGAGAAGACCAACGTACGAACCAAACGCATCTTAGTTACTCGGCAAATATTACGGTCTTTCCAGATTTTATCGAGGCTATTCATGGCACTTTTAACCATCCCGATATACCGCAATGGAAAACAGTTCATAACAACATACCCATACATACAACTGAGCAATTAACAAATGATTAGCTGAGCGCACCCAAGCACTAGTTTAAAACTTTCATTGTTAACCTAATTAATCACAATTTCGATAAATGACTTCAAATCCCTTTACCTGTTTAAAATAAATTATACAAATTGTTGAATACGAAAATTATTTGGTCTATATAAATTATTTTCTGTAATTAGACTACATTGATTTTTTATTTATTATTGCTTAGATGGATGGACGAGCTCACAGCCCACCTGGTGTTAAGTGGTTACTGGAGCCCATAGGCATCTACAACGTAAATGCGCCACCCACCTCGAGATATAAGTTCTAAGATCTCAGTATACAACGGCTACCCCACCCTTCGAACCGAAACGCATTACTGCTTCACGGCGGAAATAGGCAGGGTGGTGGTACCTACCCGTGCGAACTTCCAAGAGGTCCTACCACCAGTGATTACGCAAATTATAATTTCTGCGGGTTTGATTTTTATTACACGATGTTATTCCTTCACCGTGGAAGTCAATCGTGAACATTTGTTGAGTACGTATTTCATTAGAAAAATTGGTACCCGCCTGCGGGATTCGAACACCGGTGCATCGCTACATACGAATGCACCGGACGTCTTATCCTTTAGGCCACAACGACTTCGAAATTGCATCATTTACGTCTCGGTTATCTAATTCGTGTACAACTTTTACATAAATGAAGAGGAATTTAATAAAACAAATTATCTAGACGACATAAGTCGATGTTGTATAGGTCGAAAAAGTACTGTCATTCGATTCTGGTAAATTAGTTGGTTACTTGATAGTTATTAAGATCAATGATTTCGGAAACTGTTCGAAAACTGATAATGTTCAAAGCACGTTTTAATACCCTTTTGTTAGATTATACTTTTTGGCGGGAACGCGAGGAGTGAAGTTGTGTGATTTGTTTTAATTTGTCTACCTATAGTAGTGGAATGAAGGGAGACAAATACATATCCGTCCGTGTCACCGCGCAGAATAATTGTTCCGCTGCCAGTGCTGCCATTATTGTATCAAGAGTTGTGACTTTAATTATACACATAGTATAGATTATAAACTTAATATATGATTATACATAGTCTACTCAAAGATTGGGAATGCTTTAGATCAAATAAAATGATTCACCAACGTGCGGAAATGGACAGAATGATCGAATTGAATCATTTTGAGTCGCTCGCTTCAATAGAATACATAATTTAAAGAGTCAACAACAACAACAAGTCAACCAGTCAACAATCCACAGTAATCCACACAAGTTTCTGACAGGCCAAGGCATACGTTTTACTAATAAAACCTATTACATACTAACTTTCGAACCAGGTCGGTACTAGGTATCCAAAGACTATGTAAAAGTATTTTATGTATCCAATTAAGAAACGTGAGGAGAATTATCAAATAATTTGCCTTGATAAAGAACGTGCTAATTCCATCAAATAATTTAAAATGAAGATTATCCAATTGTTCAATACATGAAAGTTGATGTGCTATATGAGTTAAGAGCCTAATGTTTATCTAGCAAGCATTATAAATTTTACCTACATCTTTGAAAATTGGTGAGTTGCTAAAATTTTGGGAATTTTTACAAATATAACGACAACATATTAACAATATTTGGTACCTATCTCGGCTTTCGCCAATTCTGCATCTCCATTATCGTCACTAGTTGTAGTATTCTTCTCTTAAAAGTCACAATCTGACACCGAATTAAGGCGTAACATTTCCAGGAAGATTTGACTTCGGACAATGGGTCAGTCCTTAAGTCAAGTCAAACAACATGGAAACAAATTTCCATTATCAAATACATTCGAGAATCTAGCTCATATTAATTGATATGGATTATACTTTGATTCATATATTGTGGCAGACAACAAGGCTTCTATATGAAAAAGACCCAGTATATTTCCGTAAATAACCTGTAAGAGTAGCCTGAGTTAGGAGTAACAGTCTGAAATATAATTAACGTTGTGATCTTGTCACACAACATATTTTAAGGAACTCAACATTACTGCCCTATTGGTTTTCCTTAATTAGCGGGGATAGTATTTCACCTTAGTGTGTGAAATTTATTACTGGTCCCTATGATAATTCTCTGTTCAGGAAAACGTAAATTAAAATAACTATCATCAACTGATGATTTATCACAAAACAAGATTTATACAACGGGTGATAGTATTGACTACAATCCTAAAGAGATTAAGATCAAGATTGAATAAATTTTGTAGAACTAACTAATATCCAGTGTAGACAAAGGTTATACTGTAAATGAGAGTTAGTTGTCTTTAAATTATCGTTAACAGTTTTTTTTTAAAACAAAATATTTTGTCTAGTATGTTTTAATAATTATTCAATAGCATCATCTCAAATGATACTTATTCTATATACTATTCAGCTTTTAACATGTTTATTTCAGATGTAATGTCGTCCAAATCTTTGAGAGTAATTCCTAGCACAGTGGGCTATGGAAAATATACTAGGACCTTTGACTTCACGGAGTTTTACAAAAGCACATCAGAACTTCCCAAAAGATGGGAAAATAATACTGCAGGTAGTTCTGCAGATACACAGTTAAATAATGTGGATATTAGTGAAGAAACTAAACTTAAAAAAAAGAAGAAGAAATCGAAAAGAGATTCTTCAAATGTCTCTGAAGCAATAGTAAAAAGCTCTAGCATAAATTCTAATGTGAAATTGAAAGGGATCTTAAAAGTATCTCCAGCTCCTGAAGATTGTACAAAAGACACAGCCAGCACAAATCAAAGCAATCGCAATTCTGACAATGATATAAAAGATGGTACAAAAGAGGCAGTAACAAAGCCAAATAAAAGAAGTAAGTCTTGTAGCTTCATGCTTGAAGATACTCAGGAAATAGCTGTTAAAAAACCTAAATCAGAAGGATCATTTGTTGAAAATAGAAAAATGAAAGACAGCCGAAAAGAACATCAGAAATCAATTGATGGTCAGAATGGTAATCAATATAAAACTAAAATATATAGGAGCCAGAAACATTCCTCTAATAATCGATCACAAGATTCTGAAGATACAAAAGCTCTTGAAAAATTAACAAAACGTAAGAAACTAAAAAGACTAAGTCAAGATACTGAACAAACAGCAGAAGAAAATACAGAACAAGCAACACGGAAGAAACCAAAAAACTCAAAAAAGAAGCGGCATCAAGAGATGGAACTTGATGAAAATGAAACTAAAGCAGAAGTAAAAACTGATATCTTAACAGAAAATTTAGAAAATCTTAACATTGGTGATAATGCTCACACACTAACAAACCTACTTGACGAAATGGCAGTAGTGGATAAATCAAAAATAGAAAAGAAACAAAAAAGAAAAGATAAAAAGAAAATTGGCACAGAAAGAGATAAAGACTTAGAAAAAGAAGAGAATGAGAAAGTTAAATGGAGTAAAAGGAAATGGAATAAAGATAAAAAAGGAGGTATTGAGAATGAGAATTTAGACACAACTGTTGTCATAGAAAATTTACCTATTTCTATAATGTTAACATACAAGAAGTTGTTGACAGATCATTTTGTGAAATATGGACTCATAAAGAATATTGGGTAGGTAAACAAATCTTACAAATACTGCAGTAAGGGGCAATGTGCTCTTGACTAAATATAATGAAATCAATCTAATTATCTGTTTTATATTTTGTTAGAAAATCTACAAAAATTAGACACAATTTGCTGTTATACTCTGTCATGTCCTTACTGTAAAATTAACTGAATGTAAAATAGTTTACCCAGTAAGAGAGACATGTCACAGAAATCAAACCATAACAGTTTAACTTAACCTAAGAATTACTATTGTATTAAAAAATTAATGAAATGTTTCTCTTAACAGAATAGCCGAAGTATATCCTACTGAGGAATCAAAACCAGTGTTTACAACTACTATTAAGTTTTATAGTGATGGAGCTGCCACAGAGGTAAATTGAATTTTTATAGTACATGTAAATTGTCTATAGAAAAATGATAATAAGTATTTGTTTCCTAGACCGTTTATCTTGAGGTAGTGTACAGTTCTTATGAGAATTCCAGGGAAGGTTGCTGTCACAGTTCCATCAATGTACATTAAGTGGCATGCGAGCATTTTAAATAAATCAAATGTTTTTCATACCATTACTGATAGTTACAGAAAAGCATGACTGGGCTGTGTGCTGGTGTGTTCAGTTTGAATATTCAAAATCAAATATTGAGGTTAAATTTCAGTCCAATGGTCACTGGGCCACTCATACTCTCATACTCTCTTCTTCAACCCGTGTTCACCCAAAGCTGAGTGTAGGTATCTTCAAATGCACTCCTAAAAGTCTGTGCATGAAGGTTATTGGCCTCAAAACGCCACGCTAGCAGTTATGGGTTGACGAGTACACTTATTTCAAGGGTATTTAAGTCCTTGGGGCTTGTGGTAGACCTATCTGCATTCTTGCAAAGGTCGGAATATTTCACCTCCGCCCGCTGTTCTATCTTTCACCACTCATACTAATTAATTTTATTTGTAAACACAGGCATTAAATGAGGACAATGCTACGTTCGAAGGCAGCAGTATACGGGTGAAGCGACCCTTACCTGCCACTGAAACCACCATAGTACTCCGGTCATATTCAGAATTAAATGAACAAACTGTGTGTTCTCTCTTCACTGGAATCGGCAAGATAAGGAGTATAAGGTTAATTATTAAAGGAAGGAAATCTTTATGTGAGTATAAACAATAATAAATTAAAGGATATTACACTCGTGTAGTTATCTGTCTGGACACTGGCATGTAACAGTATGCTTTCTGTTTTTCTACTAACAAAGGAAAGTTTTGAAAGTCATAGAGAAAACAACATTTTGTTCAGTCTTCATGCTGTAGTGAACACTGTCTGTCTGTCTGTCTACCTGTAAAATTGAATGTATACATATATCAAATAATATACAAACGTTTTTGATTGTCATTGATGGCCAACATATGCATATCCTGTTTTATATGTATTGGTTATCGACTACTACAGTAAATTTTGATAAAGATGAAGATGTCTTAAGGCTCCAAAAACAGTCTGCAGTTCATTCCAGAGCTAGGGAAGTGGGAGGTTGAATGTAATTGGGCCGGGCTGCTTTGTTTTTTATTGCATTGATTAGTAATTGATTAGTAGATCTCATAGACTTAAAACATTGTGAATGAATGCCTCAGCAGTATTGTTTAACGAAACCCACGAGGTATTCACGGAAAAAATGGACAGGATTGAGGTAGCTACCCGGGCAGACTTAGTATACGCCCTATCACCAGTTCTAGGAATGAATTATACTCCACAAATTGAAATCATATATGTTACTCTGAATGTTTAATTCTAGCGACTGCATTCATCGAGTTCGCCGGTACAGAGTCGGTGGAGAAGGCTCTGCAGAAGGCTGCTCACATTAAAATAGGAAAGAAGAAAGTCCACGTCGCGAGATATCAACCGCGTGAGAAGAAACTTAAATCTGATGAAGGGCAAAAGGAAAGCGACTCCGAGTGAAGTGACATCCTTGGGGAAACATTATTATGAACTGCCCACAGCATACTTTTGTAACTAAATATTTCTAATAATAAACTTAAGTAAACATTGATCACCTCTCACCATCAAATAATTAAGGGGCAGAATCAAATTTTCGAACGCAAGCATTGCACTATTATTATAGCTTAAACAGGGCACGGAGCCTACAGTCTGTTTAAGTGGTTACCTGCGCTTATATACATCAATATGTGAACCATGTTGAATAATATGGTCGAAATTTCAAGTGTAATGTGTAGTGAAAAGGTATTGTTTAATCGTAACAGATCCAGAAAACGTAATATCATTTTGTTATTGACGTTTGACTCTCAATGTATAGCGTACTCAACTCATTGTAGCTCTCTTGACTGAGTTTGTGGTGACCTGTGTGCTTAGTGCAAGTTTTTTAACGGTCTCGTTAGCGTAAAAGAGTCGACTATTATCAAAGCCGGCAATGTGACTTTTTGACAATTGAGTCGTATATTATCAAAGGTGGCAATCTGTGCATTGGACAAAAAAAATTTTTTGATATTTCAATACAGATTGATTTTAATATAATCGTCTCCTTCAAAGAATACGGTTCAAAACCTGCATTAAATAAAGGTTAATACTTAACCTGTTATTTATCTAAGATGTCGTTCAGAAGAGTTTTGTGACTGCCAATGGAATACAAAGTCAATAATTCGTTTTTCTGATTTACCAATAATTATCCAAAAGTCAGATTGCCGGTTTTGATAATAGTCGACTCAATTATTGGTTAATCAAAAAAAAAACGAATCATTGATTTTGTATTCCATTGGCAGTCACAAAACTCTTTTGTATGACATCTTAGATAAATAACAGGTTAAGTTAATACTTTATTTCACCAATAACCATTCTATAACAGTATTTATTACCATTTTAATTTTGCATATTTCCGACTTTGTTAGTATTTTTTTATGAATGCCGTCTTTGATTATGAATAAGGCGCAGATAGCCGTATTTGATATTAAAGACGCCATTTCCGAATCAGGGTTGTCAAACAAGCATGGAAAAAAAACTTTTACCGATTGGAATAATAAATAGTAATACCAGATAGTTTTAAAAATCTTTAATTATTCATTTATAAAATATAAAATCATATGCGTATGTCATTGACCTCTTCCAAGGGCCCCTCGCAATAGTGCTCCTGAAATTCCTGGCCTGTGTTTCTAATATATCTTTATAAATAGATAAAGCTTCTATTCCTCTCCAATCTGGGCCGAAATGTTTTTGGAGTAATTTGGTAACATCAGCCAATTTATTTTTATTTACGGGCGTTATATTAGGCAACGGCCTAGGTATCATATTACTAATAGTTTTATTACGTTGAGAAATATTTTGTGATTTTCCAAGATAATTTTCATAGTAAAGTTCTCCCCTTACGAGTACACAACCCACAGACACAGCCCACCGAGTTTCTCGCCGGATCTTCTCAGTGGGTCGCGTTTCCGATCCGGTGGTAGATTCTGCGAAGCACTGCTCTTGCTAGGGTCAGTGTTAGCTATTCTCCGGTTTGAGCCCCGTGAGCTCACCTACACAAGCTAGGGTAAGCTGAAATAGCCTCTCAAGGCTATCAGCATAGGTAGGAAAAAAAAAACGAGTAAATTGCCGGATACTTTAAACCGCCTCAGAATAAATCGTTTGCATTCTTTGAATGAGATATTCCATGACGTAGTTGGTTTTAAAACCGACTTTACGGTTTCTCGCCAGTCGAAAACTGGACAATCACTTCAAAGCCTTATCAATGTTGATGTTTCACTTAAAATGTCTTTTATTACGTCCGGATGCAATATTACATCCATTTTCCGCATTTTTTTTTCTCAGCAATGCCAAATTGCCGGTCAGCAGGCATAAACGAGTGTCCTGTTACTGGAAACACCAATTCGATTATTTTAATATTCTGATGCTCCAAAAGCCATTTAGAGCATGCACCCACCAGAATGCTGTTTTTATTCTGGCCGCCACAACCGTCTGCGACCAAGCGGATGTTAGTAATACCAGTTAAATTTGTATGATTTAGTCTATGCGTAATAGCTGAAGCCACTAAGTTTGAATCTTTATTGAATTCATTTTCCATGCAATAATAGGTAAACACACGCTCTTTGCTTAAGGGTCTATTAGATACACCCTCCACCACGGTAAAATTTAAAAAAAAAAAATTGTCGCGAATAGTATGCCATTTGGTCAGGTAGCTTTGGCAAAGGCAGATTTTTTTGGCAATCAAAAGATAAAATCTTAAGTGCATCTGAATTATCTTTAAGTTTTTCATAAAATGCTCTAGCCCTTAAAGAGTGCACATTCTTCTCTGTCACAAGAAAAGCTTTCTTGTCAGGATCTTGTTTAGAAGCAATTTTTTCAGTAAGCTCTAAACGCTTTGAACATACATCAATGTGCCGGAAATACGATTGCTTAACAGCGCTATTATAATACTCACTGTCTTTGTAAATTTTGAACAGCTTGTTGATGTTCAAATTTGAGGGTAAATATTTTCTTTCAGCCGTCTTTGTTTTCCTGCAGTAATGAGATTCAACACATTGTAATTTTTGTATAAAATTATGAACAGATAGTTTTTGTGTCTCATACAAGTGTTCTTTGCGACTCCCACCTGAAATTAAACAAAATAACTTGAAGTAGATAATATGTAGGTTATCTGAAATTAAAGCAAATATTTTAAATAAAAAAAAATAATTTTAACTCGCCTCTCATCAATGATTATATCTCCAGCATGAAAAGATCTATTCATTACATACGCCACTCTGTGTTTCGTTACATTAAACAGGCTTAAAAATAGTTTCTGGCAAATTGGCACCTTAACATTACGTACAAATACGCCATATTTAATTGTTGTTTGTTTTACTCCTTTAAAACCCACTCTCCGCTTCACGGGTTCAATAGAACAATATTTTAATATTAGAGAGAGTTGATCTTTTTTATTTTGATGTTTATAAAATATTTCTTGTAATTGTTTTAACTGAGCTATTGTTAATGTGGCACATTTTAATGCTTTCGAATTATGGGTGCAGACTTTATCTGGCAATGATTTCACTGAGTATCTAAAACAAAAAACAATACAAATTGGTCAATATAACTTAAGTAACAAGAAATGACAAGCCTAGGGGTAAAAATACCTCAATTCCTTGGCCCGGTTTCTTGTCCAATTTTCTGGATTCCTCTTGCGTTTTTTTTTGTAACATTGTTAGTTACTAAAGTAGGGTGGTCTTCCATGATTATATTTTTACTACTTTATATTAGCTTCAATCACAAAAACACTAAGAAATTATTAAAATTCACGGAGCATAATGTTTCTGCGGCCATTACAAAACGTAAATGAACTCTCGTCTGTGATTGGTCGAAGGCGTAAGATGGCCGGGTTTGCATTCAAAGTTTTATAGATTACTGGATTTGATGCTGATGTCAGGTTTTAACATGTTTTTAGTATGGTTTAATGCAGGTTTTGAACCGTATTCTTTGAAGAAGACGTTTTTATTCAAATTAGTCTGTATTGCCATATCAATAACATTTTTTTGGCTAAATGCACAGATTGCGACCCTTGATAATAGACGACTCAAAAGTCAACTCAAATTTGTATGCAGTTGGAACGTTTGCGTACGTTTGCCGCTAGGGGCGCTGTTCCAACTGCATACAAATTTGAGTTGACTTTTACGTTATCGAGAACGTTAAAAAACTTGCACTAAGCACACTGGACAGTGTTGTTAGATATGTCGCGTCTACATTCCGTCGCGGTGTCTCGCACAGACATTCCACCGATGTGTGATGACCGATGATAAATACAACTTTGACTCCGAAACATATCATTTTGTTGAAATAAATTATTTATCTATTTTAATTAATTCCTCGACAATGCAATGTTTGTTAATAAGCCACAAAGTAAGTAAGTCTATGTATGTATGTATAACAATAAACAATATATTTCATACAGGGTGTAAGAGCCCGTTTTGGTGTGCCGCAACTACTGTGAAGTACTGGCTTAAAGTTACCTGAAAATAACATTCGTTTCCTAAACTAAAGATAAATATTTGTTGTTTTGTAATTGCATTGTTTACTTTTTGGGGGAATGCGTAGAGTAAACTTATGTGAAGCATTTAATTGTGTTAATTTTGTATTGTTTAGGGTGTACACTGCACAAATGTGAGAAAATTAACAAAATATCTTGGGTTCTTTAAAAAAGAAAATTTCCACTTTTACTGGAACATCAATTTCGCCCCATAATTAATTCGTCTTAATAATAAAACCCATTTTTCATTTCGCTCTAATTTTTTAAATGTTTTAATGTTTCCACACTGGGAAAGAGAAGAAATGATTTATTACTATCGTGTTAGTAATTACTAATTTTATAACCCCTGTCTTTATTTTCGGAAACACTGGTTTCTGTACACACTGTATGAATAATCTATTTGCTGTTGGTTCAGGAGGCGAGGTCAGACTCACATATCACATAACAATTGACAATGACAGTTAAAATAGTCTTTTTTAATATTTCAAAACTAATATTTTTTGAAGTCCCTTAGTGTGTACATATTATTGTAGTGCAACTATATCTTTGCGCCGTTGAATTTATTATTTCACATATTTTAGTTTTATTTTACATTTAATGATTTTTAAACTATAATGTATAGAAGTATACATTGTTTATAGAAGTTGTGTATTCTACATATTATTATGACATTGAACAACGATTGTTGTTACAGGTATTGATTGGAAAACTTTGTTTTGTATTAAATTTTGTAAATTTGTGGAATTCGAATAAATTGTGATTTTTCGTTTGACAGCATAGTTTTTTTATTTACAAACACTTTAGGCGTGTTGCGATTAGTTGTCAATGCGCACGGGAAGAAAGTATCGTCCTGCCTATTGCTGCCTCTGTGAAGGGTAGGTTTTCGGTAGACTGTGGCTTGGCTATAACCCCTGGCATTGCTGAAGTTTATTGGCGACGGTAACCACTCACCATTAGGTGGGCCGTATGCTCGTCTGCATACAAGGGCTATAAAAAAAAATGGGTGGGACGTTACAATTACGCAATATAATTTAGACTTCGACATGTTATGGCTTTCTGAAACCACTTGTAATTATAGCTGTTCTTAAATATATCTAAGTAGGATCGCGCTAACTACACCTATTTTTTTATTTTATTACATAGATGGGTGGACGAGCTCACAGCCCACCTGGTGTTAAGCGGTTACCAAAGCCCATAGACATCTACAACGTAAATGTCGCCACCTACTTGAAATATGAGTTCTAAAGTCTCAGTATAGTTACAACGGCTGCCCCATCCTTCAAACCGAAACGCATTACTGCTTCACGGCAAAAATAGGCAGGGTGGCGTTACCTACCCGTGCGGACTCATAAGAGGTCCTACCACCTCCACACCTGTGAGATAAACTTCAATACTGACAAGTTGTTTAAACGAGATTTGGAGAAAGAGTGACAAGAAT